GCAATCTAGAACTCATCTCTTGGATTTATTTATGTGCCACCAAGGCCTATGAAAGATTAAAAATAACTGAACAGACGAAGTTCTACTCTCAATAGAAATGAGCAGAATCTAAACCATTCCCTATAAACAGGTAGGTAAGTACCAACACTGACAAGCAGTTTATAATCCCTGAACACCTGCAATGGTCAGATCTGTGCAGTTACACTGACACACAAGGTACATTCTCAGCAGTTTGGGCACTGTCTTTTTACAAATGCCCCAGCTTGGAAAGACTCTGCTCTTTTATCCTTATGTCATTTCTCTTATTGGCCACGATGCGATGAGGAAAAGGGAACTTTTATACAAATGTAATAGTATATAATCTAAAACACATATGTAATTCTTTCCACCTCCAAGAGCTAAAATAACAAAACAAAACAAAAAAAAAAGAGGATGGGGGAAAAAATACAAGAGGAGTGGGCCACCAACAAAACCACACCATATCACTCAGGGCATGGAACATCTTGTGATTCCTGCCTGTGCACAGTCAGATCCAGAAGCTGAGAACGACTTTCCCTTTTCTCCTCTAAGTTCAGAAACCTAGACCACAGCTAAAAGGAACATATGGCACTATTTATTTTTGCCTGAATAGGGTATTCTGTAAGTCCCACCAAACCTTGCATAACTACCTAAGAAAAATTGTAATGTCAGAGCAAAACAAATCATTTTATCAAAGAATGCATGTGCTTGACTGCTGCAAAAACTAATGTCATATGTGGACTTGTAAAAAGATTTCAAAGACTAAATCACTGAAGCATGCATTCAATTCCTATTTTTTAGCCAATTAATATATTTTATTCTAAATTAAGTCCTATTCAGATAAACTGCATCCTAAGAACATTACACATGCTTAGGAAAAAAAAAAATCACAAGAAGATTGGTTACAGGACATTTCCAAGATGAGAGGGGTCCAAATTGAAAGAAAAAAGAAATTTATGAGAGCTTTGCTTATGCTTGAGAAAAACGTATTAAACTTCATATTTGAATTCTGAGATGTTGTATACTTGTGTTTGCTGAAGGTTTCTGTTCCTGCTTTGAAAAATCTAGTGAAATAGCTGATACTGTCAAGAACACTGTCAAAAAATGTATATGTATACCAACCACACATGCTTCTCCAATTTCTTATCTACCAAATACCAAATTATCCTTTGAGCTCCTATTCTCATTAAAGCAATGAGACAACAGCCACTGTCTTTGGAAACAGGGAGAAACCCCACAATTTCTGTACTGGTAAATTTCACTTCAGCAGCTAGAAAACTATTACTTATCACAAGAGACTGTGGGGATTTTTCCCCCTCAACACTAAAAAAAATATGACTCCTCTCACTCCAAAAAAAAAAAAAAAAAAAAAAAAAAGGCAGCAAGAACAAATCTAGTTGTGAAAAACACTGAAAAAAAAACCCTCAAAACACATAAGCAAGCAAAACCAAAAAAACAAAAAGCATATAAAATACCTACATATATTTCCCAGGAAAATTTACTATAAATACTTATATAATTAAAGATCCACCACTTTTCCCCAAATGAGTAGTGAGGCCCTTCACCATTTTTTAATAGTTTCTCAGAAGTCTAGTCAAGGGTCAAAAGCTTTCCACAGATTGAAGTGTGTCAAATTCAACAATATACATATGACTTTATTCTGTATATCAAACACACTGTCTAATTAAGGGAATATTTTTTTCTTACCTAAATGATATAATTTCAGGAAGCAAAATCAGTTCATAAACATTTTTAATTTCCTGCATCTTGTGATTAATTATGAATGTGTCTGATTCTTCTTTGAGAAACTCACCTCAGAAATCTGATACTTCCAGCATCTACAGCATTTTACAGCACTTCAAAGTAAATCGCTATTTCCCTGAACAGATTTTAGGTAAATTTTTACCTTTTACTGTTATTTACATTTATGCCACTCAACATCAAATGCAGACAAAAGTGCATGGGTTCAATTAGCATGCTCTTAAATGATGTGCTTATACAATTTAATGTGGACACATTTTTAAATCATACGTCAAGTTTCCCTCTACATTGTTTAAGAGCAAAAGACACATTTTCAAAGGTTGTGGCACCAAGAACATTATATTCCAGTCGTGCTTCTCAAAGATAAAGTAAGAGGAAAAAAGGATCTTCTGGCCATAGAACTACAGGCACCATGCTTAACCAGCTGCACTACTTCAAAACACAAAAACAGTTTATAACTGAAGGACATTCTGCATCGCCTTATACAAGCCTCTTCCTCCAAAGCCTGCCCTTAAGTTGAAACTGGGTAGTGTGAATATTTCTTTGTGCCTAAACCACTTATGAAATGTCAGGAATAAAATTTGGCTACTAAAACAGTAATATGGCTATTTCTATTTCAGTACTTTATCTTTACGATATTCACATAAACTACTGAAACAATTCAATATTGGTACAATCTCATGCACATGACACTTTTGCATCTTCTACAGACATGAATTACAGGCTAGGAAACACTCACTTGACATAGCGATATGCAAGTGACAGTGAAATGCTTTGAAAATTCAATAGTTTAACTATTTTAAATCTCCCATTCTTGTTTCTCACGATGCTCCCAACAACAACAAAGTTCTAATTTCTCCTCTTTGTTTATTCTTTAAACATAATTTTCCATCTAATGAATGGAATGGGAGGAGATGACAAACACGGCTAGGTTTTTTCAACATTCATATCAGGTACAAAACCCTTCTTTCCCTCACAACCACCAATTAATTAAATATTTTTAAGAAAACTAGTGTGGAGGAGAGTCATCTCTATCAATGATTTCAGTATTCGTCACTGATTGGATTGAATAATTTCATTAATTGTCTCCAATGACCCAGATTATGAATAATAAGTTACATCCCTTACTTTCCAGCAGATGGTATGAAACACATGATTTTGTAAATTCAGTTGGAAAAAAGTATTTTCTGACTTAAAAGTTTTTAAGTAGTTCTATGGCTATAATGTTGCCTAAGGCCTTCAAGTCTTCATGTATTGTATAAATAGAAATATTTTATTTCACTAGAGAATTGTACAAATGATCCAATACCAAAGTACACGTCCAATCTTATACTACACTACGAAGCTATAACCTTTAGACATGTATGTTGTCTTGTATTTTCCATACTGTTGGCCTTTATTTTCTTCACCTGTAGATAGCCATAAAGTTTAAAAATTAAATAGGTAATTATGGGAGCACCCACTATTTAAATATTTGTTTCAATATTCACAAAGCACCTGGACAAACTAATACGATAAATTAGAAAGCTGTTTTGTAAGGTTACTAAGGAAGAAATAAAAACTAGATCAGACATGTCACTGAATTTGGTAAATGCTATATTAAAAAAATGCACCTTGTTTCCTAAACTGACCAAAATTACCAAAGAGGTTCCATGCATGGCTTCTTATTTCTCAGATGGTTAGGCATATTGATAAACCCAGATGTGCACAATATGTGCTGCTATACCTTGACAAGAACATAAATATACTCAGAAATAACCTAACCCAATGACATTGGCCAGCTGGTCCCTTATAAAATGCAAAGGGAAACACTAAAAAATACCCCAAAGAAATAAATGAAGTCCTCAAACAGTGTTGAGTAAGTTCTCCCACTACACTGAAGTAAAATGTATTTTATATTATGTATATTAGGTTTTGGTCCCAGTTCTTGGTTTGTATCTGTGTTAACATAAAGCCCAGTAAAATCAACACAGGGCAACTTCTGACTGCAGAGGACTCTGGCTTTGATGGATTTCTAGCCTTGATAATTAAATTGGAACTAGAAGCATGACTTCAAGTTTTTTTTTTCATTTTTAGTGCTGAAGATGTCAGGAAACATGCAAAATGCCATTTTTTAGAAGACCATGACTAAAAACTGTAAATATGGCAGCAAGGGAACACGTTTTCCAGCTATTGATACGAGTCAGCAACTAACATAAATAAGAGTGAAGAATGGTATTTTTAGGAAAAATAATCAAAATATTCTTCTTGCAGAATCAAACAATACAGTGGCAATTAAGTCCCCTCTACTTTTTGCTGCAGAAGACTTGACTAAAAAGCGCAATCTCTTTCCCTCCATTTCCTCCTCCATCCAAATAATTGCTCTGTAGCCCAAAACTGATTCACCATCAAATATTTCTTAACCAAAGTAAACAATCAAGGACACAAATCCTTTTTCAGTTCAACCCAAACTAGTTAAAGTCTCATTGGGATTCTCTGAAGTTTTAAATGGGATTTAAATCACTTTACCTTCTAGTTTATATGTGCATTCTAAAAAGAAAACTAATCCAGATTACATAGGAGACACTTTTTCCTGCAATAAACTCCACAGAAAACCTTTGCATTTTAGTATTTGACAATGCTCTAAAGCAATTATGTTTAAATACAGTGAAAAACTAATAAGTTTTTTTCCATTTAAACCACATATTATCATCATCTGTCTCCATTTGGTATGTAACTGTTCACAGGTTTGAAGGATTTCTACACTATTAAAGAAAAACATGAAGAGAATATAAAATCATTATTAGTCTATGAAATATATCACAAATCTCACTGCATAGGCATTTCAATCTTGTCTTTGCTTTACAATTCTGACCACTCCTCTATTTGTAACACTGGGCTTAACTTCCAAGTTTGCTTCTGTTCTTCCAAACACAATTTTACTTTCAGAAAAAACAGGTCTATAGTTTTAACACCTAATATGAGATTAACATATTCACTGCTGGTAGTTCAAAATCATAGGGCAAAGTAGTGAAATAGGCTGGAGAGTGGACTGGCAGTCGTTTTTGTTACTTGCTGTCTCTGCCTGTCTCTTGCAGTGGGAATTAGTCTGCTATTTTGCAGAGAAAATTGGGGCTGACTCAGTGCTGATGCAACAAATCAATCTTCCTCTAATGCTGGGACACAGTGCTTCCTAAAAACGTTCTTTAAAATAAAAACATAGAAAATCACAGAAAACTTACAAGTACTCTGCCAGTTAATGTCTGGGCAGATATCATGACTCCTGCCCAATCCTTCACAGACGTCATCCATCCCACTTCTGCTGCCACATTCTCCTCTTTTTCATCTGTTGGTTTGCAGGCTCCATCTGCCTGTGTATCTCCACCACCATTGATCTTCTGGGCCTCCTGCAAAGTAAGTATTTGGGTTGGTTAATGTTTAGCAATTCGACAGTCAAAGTCAGTATATAACTAAGGCAAAGAATAGTAATAAAAACCAGAAAATCTGTCTTCCTGGATCCCTGCTAGGTGAAACTAAGAACCTACTTGGCCACATCTTTAGAAATAAGAGAAATAGAAATATTCTATAAGGTACCAACTAGATAATAATAGTCTCCTTGGCATTACATCTTCAAAACATATATTTAGCACTAATATACAATAAGTTCCTTCATTACAAGTAACATAATTGACAACAGCTCTGTACGCAATTACTGAGTTACATACAAATGAATTTGTCAGACATACACTGAAAGACCTCTTGATGTTTCAGTTCAAAATAATGCATACTAGGTGTGAACATAATTTATGTACAATTTTAATTTCCCATCACTAGAATTAATTATCTGAGTAAACCTTCACTGAGAAGCATGATGTAACAAGACAGCAATTATCAAGTGTGAGGGGAACAAAATCCATCATAAAGAATCTGCAGGGAGCTGCCATGCTATCAGTGAACCCGTGTTTCAATGAAAGTGTTTAATATATCACAGGAATTACTCTGTCACTAAGTGGTTCTCACAGAAAGAAGAGCTAGAAATTAGAGGATCCTCAGCTGCACCAAGCTCACTGATGAGTAACACGCGCTGGAATTCATATCAGTCTCCCATGGATGCTGCAGCAAGGATGTTGTGCTCCGTAACTGCCTGCAATGTGCTACAGTCATGGGTGCTGCACAAACATCAAGGGAAACGACAGGAAAAGCCAGCGAGGATTATACAGTGTTTAAATCATACTGCATGCAAAGTATCACTGTGCCATGAGCATGCCTTTGGTGACAGCATAATAATAATGACTTCCTAAATACTTGACAAGATATGCTAAACAAAAACAGGAGAGGCAGCAATATTCCGTGCTGAAGTCCTGAGCACTAGGTCTGCATTAGTGTTCCAAGCACTCTGCACAGACCAACATCTGAAAGATCTTGCTTATAGATTACTTGTCTGTAGGCCACTAAGCAGGAAATGAATTGCCATTAATCCCCTTTGGAATATCTTTTATACAAGCAAAGATGCTTGATGCTGGTTATGTGATAATTATTACAGTAGAAATACTATCCTGTGATGGTCAAGACCCGCAGCTGTGAGATGGCCTCGACTACACAGCTGGACATAAGGGTACAGGCACTTCCTAAGAGTAAAACTGATCTGATAAAGCAATTTCATTGAATCTGCCAGCAAAGAACAGTAGAACAAAGCTAAAAATGTAACGTGAAGACCAACATTTGTTTTCAGAGAAGCTCAACATTGCAACTTAATTAGCTAATCAGATTCTTTTTTCTCTGTCAGTTTCCCTCCCAGAAAGCAGGCTCCGTGTTCTTACTAGTGATTATGGCAAAGTGTGATGTTACTATATTGATAACAACAAATTATTCAGAGTTACAACAGTAATTCAGAACACTTCCCAAGCAAATAACGCAACAGAAGTTTAAAATTACTTTGTATTTGCATAACTGGACCTCATTCACTGACAAATTTGGACACAGTGAATCAGATGTTTTGCACTCGGCGTTGAAAGATGTATCCTGTGCCGCACACGCACGCATGGAGCACAACCTACAGGAATGAGCTCACTGCAGAGGAGAGCAATGTACAACATGGAATGAGACGTCCTAGCAGAGCAATGTTAGCGTGGAGCCAACTGCTGACCCAAAGCCATAGAGATCAGACCCGAAGAAATGCCTTCACCACCATCAAGGTTGTGATTATAAACCAGGAAAGAGAAAATTAGGCTCTACACTCCAAAGAATATTCAAGCTTAGGCAACCTAGGCATATCTTCAAGGCCTCAGAGGTCCTAGGTGCTGTCCCCAGGGTCTCCCCTGACTCAGACGCACTCCGTGGCCCAGGACACCATGTCAGCCCCATCCAGGGCTCCCACAGCACTGTCCTTTCCAGCCTTGGTGAGCCCACAGCCAGTTCTCCCTGCCCGAGCCCCAGGCTGCTGTCCCAGGCTGGCCCTGAGGAGGCTCCAGGCCAGGGCCTTGTCCCACCACCCAGCCAGGGCGCTGGGCAGGGCCCCGGCCCACAGAGCCCCACAGCCCTGACAGCTACAGACTGTTTAAACCATTGCACATGCCCTTTCTTTCCCTCTTGCCACCAGTTTCTCTGCCTTTTGTAACTGCTACAGCTTGTCTCTCAGAACTCTAAGCTTCACACCAGATTCTGCTTCATGGTCCTCCTCTGTATCGCACAGTGAGCTTTCATACTCCGCGCAAGTTTACATTGAATTAATTAATGTGGTTTTCATAGTAAAGGAAGTATAATTATCTCTTCCTCTCAGATAAGAAACTGAGGTGATGATTAGGAGCCTAACTCAGTCACTAGAGAAGTCACTGGCAGAGTCAGGATGAAGCAACACTCTTTTTTCATCTTTTCACCCAGCAGCCCTTGTTTAAAAGTGCACAGATGCATACCTTGCTAAAAACACTCAAAACTACAGACCTTGCCATAGAAAGTTACAGAACTACAGATCACTAAACAAAAAGCTGAATAAAAAAAGTCAATTTTATTGAACTTGTGTTAAGGTTAGAAAATTCTTTTATTGTATATATGTTCCTTACCCACAGTCTTCTTGTCAATAGATGTGATTGTTCATAAGATATAAAATAACTTAAAATTTCCTAGCACTCAATAAAATAGTAGGCAATTTACTTAATTGAAGGAGAAAGGTAGCTTTTACATTTTGAAAAGGTTTTCATAACCTACAGTTCTTTTGATGTATTGACTTTTGGTCGCCAATAGAATAGAGCAGTAAAACATGACAAACCTATTCAGTATTTGATTCTTCTAAAGGTATTAAAGTCTTTATTACATTTGAATGGCTACATTTCTGTATTTATACTACTTATTTCACCTCCATTAAAATCTCCCACCCTTATTATTTCTTAATTAAAGTTTAAGTAAAACAATCATCCCCTGCCAAGTATGATTTGGAACAGACTCTCATGATCAGCCTAGCTCCTGCTATTATTGTAGCTATAATTAACATGCAGATTAGTTGCTGTTATATAATATTTGTATTCTGTTGGGATATTTTATATTTTTCATCTACACAGCTAGCTTTTTATCTTACCTAATTGGCAGTTGAGTATTAGGAAAAGTTTATCCCTGAGTTACTATGCAGTTGTGCAGTGATCACTAATGGAGGTTTAAAGGCTGCTTTTTTTCACACTGAACACAAAATTCAGTCCTGTTATTAAGTGTATAGTCTTATTTCATTGCTATTTCTTCATCTCAAGCATTGAGTAACCAACACCTGAAAAAGGTGCTTAAAATAATAACCTGACAGTGACAATAGTTGCTTAATTATTTACAAGTTCAATATTACAAGTAAGGGATCTTTACCCACTCTTCTTACCAGTTCTCATTATTTTAATTACTTGATGGCAGAAACATGCAGGTAGATTAAGTGAGAAGCAGTATATTGTGAAATACATATTTCCTGAACTTAATGACTAAATGGAAAATAGCATGATGAGGTGTGTACAGGAATCAGTACTCGGTGTTCTACCAATGGTTTGACACAGAGCTGGACCAGAAAATTCAATGGTTTGTCTTCTATTTTCAGCAATAAATATTGACTTAGATTACATAAATTCTGGGATTCTTAAAGACAGTCACCTAAAGGAAGAACTCAAAAAGGCAAAATTCACACAAAAACAGTTAAGTTTTAGAAACATAGTCCTGCCTGTTCAATTTCACCTCTAGAATACCTATACGAATGTAGAACCACTGCATAGACACCTCATCCAACTCAGGACAACACAAAATAAAATCAGAAAATCATTATGAAGCCTTAAAACATCATCTAAGAATAATCTGTCTTTTTTTAAAGCCCTAAAAAACCACAGGACAACATGAACACAACATGGAAAGTAGTCTCTGATGTATAGTACTGAAAAAACTTGCTAAAATATGTTTTAAAACATATGAAACCGGGAGTCAATGTGAGGGAAAATACCTGGGTTGAAGTGTGATGAAACAAAAAAAAAAAAAGGATTTGGTAATCTCTTTTATCTAACATCTAACTAGCTGAATATCACACAAAAATCATTAAGTACCACCTGTAATGAGATACAGAGCACTGAGTCATGCCCACATCACTCAAGAGAAAGTAGTATGCACAGTCCAAGCAGATGTTTGAAAACAGTAACACCAATGAGGCAAACACAGTATTGGCCTTTGACTTCCACCCTAGATAACATGAGATGAGAAAGGGCCTGTCAGAATGGCAGCTGCTCCTAGTTTAAAGTATGCAGTAATAATACAAAAAGAAAATATCATTTGGACCAGTTAGGAACAGGCTGCTTAGATAATAATGCCAGCAAATAGGAATTTGATCTCTGTTAACTGCCCTTCAATTAACAGCATTGCATTCCTAGAGCCTGGCACTTTACGAAATGTTTTCTATCACATCAACAATACTATGATAATGGCCATTCATACAAATTAGGAATCTGTATTTACGTTTCTTTCCTTTTCATTCACCTGTTTCCCCAAAGCCACCAAGAGGTGCTATGTGAAGAGAAATAATTTTGCAAAAGGCTATTTCTCCTTTCTCTTGGGCAAATGTCTAAAACACTGTTTAAAATTATTAGACTTCTATCAACAATTTAATTTCAAGTGCTTCAACACATTCACTCAGCACTTTGACATCTCCAAATAGGGGTCTTACATTTATCTAAAACCACAATATTATGCTGCATTTCCTGAAGCTGGGCAATGTACAGTGAATCTTAAGACTTCAGGTACCTACTGAATATATTGCCACGGCAGACACCTTTTGTCAGATTAAGTTACCATCCATTGTCTCCATCTTAACAGTTACTAAGTACCAGTTCATCCAGTGCTAAAAACAAGCAAAAAATAAAAACAAACCCCCTCCCACCACAAAAATTAAAAAAAAAAA